GGCTCGTGGGTGTTTGCTGCACCGACTACGTTGTAATGGCTGACGCGGGAGGTTGACCTGTGGGAGCGCCGGGGACGACGCTCAAAAGAGGAGGGAGGCTATGTAGCACGATAGTGGTTTATCCCTCGGTTCTGGTGAGGCGCCACTTTTGTACTTCGAATTAGCCCCCTTGTACCTCGCTGGGTGGGCTGGCCTTTTAGGCCATGCCAATAGCCCAGACACCTCCGTGCTGAATATATATATTCTGCCCGAGTATTTTGTCTTCTTTCGTCTTCAGGGAGTCTCGGGACGCTACAAGATTGACTAATTAAAACGAGTTAAGGTCATCAAATGATCGAAAAAGTTGACAAGGAAATGATTGCTAAGTAATGGGAGATAGAACCGAATATTGTCTGTAAGATTGGAGTAAGGTTAAACTACAATAAGAAAAGCTAGTAGACTGATTGACGCCATCGGTGCTACTTATGTGTGACGGACTGATTCTCTTATTTGACCTCAACCTTACAAGTAAGCAAGATGCTCATTGTTAACTCAGGAGCTATGAGTGCATTAAACCTTGCAGCAAGTAGTTTGGCAGGCTAATTAACTAGTAGAGTCGTTGACAGTCTAATTACAAAAATTATTTTTTTCAAAACACCTTAGTGCTAGTCCAATAGCTGGAGACGTTAGTGCAAGGGTTGGTATTAAATTAAATAGTGCAAACTTGGATTTATTGTGGATGCCTTACTCTGATAGTCAGTGTGTAAACAAATTACTTTGACGTTTGGAACAAAAAAAGAAAAATTCAAAAATTGTCCATGAATTAGATTCCACATCAGTAGGTTTGCTCTTTATTTATCTATTAGATCAATAGAGACTTTTTACCAGTAAGACCTTTCAAAGTTTGACGTTTATTATTTTATGTTTGTAGTATGTTTGCAAAAAATGTGCTCTTTACTTTTGCATCCCAGTTAGAAACTGCATATTAGGTTCACGCAAGCATAAGTATTTTATAAATGAACAAAAAATGAAGTCTATAGCTGCCAAACTTAAGGTGGTAGTAAACTTACACAGTTTCATTTAATAATTGAATCAGTAACACAGACTCAGGTTATTTGCAGACAGCTAGGAAGTCAAGAGTTTGATCTTCTTCAAGGCTCTCTGAAAGTTTTCCAAACACTCTCACCAATCCTTTGAAAAACACCACTGATCCTCTATCCGAAGCAGTGCCATCCTGCCGGCATGAGAGAGCTCTTCTCCCTTCCAAAGTCATTGGGTTCTTCAACCATCACCTCCTCTGTCTCAGTCACTTCCTCAATCTCCATGGAGTTGGGCGCCCCAAAGGGTTCCGTTTTTAAATTATTTATTGATTAAGAAGCATTTTTTCGGGTTTTAAGGATATGTGACTTGAGAAGTGTCACGATAGCTTCCATGATAAAGCGAGAGAAGCTTTAATAGGATTTGCTAATTCGATTTTGCACCATTGGATACGAACACTTTGAGATCCGAGTACGTTGTTAGTTCAAGCAAGTACAAATGATTCTTCTAAAGTCATTTTTCTCGTACTAAATGTTCAGAGGTGATTTTAAAGAAGTGCCTTTCTAACCCCTGTTCATAGGATTCAGCGATTAAGCGAGTCGGCGAAAGATGGTAAAATGAAAAAAATATTTAAAATAAATGCCCCGTGGGTATAAAATTGGATCGGTAGAATTTATTGCTTAGCATATCCGATATCATGTGCGGAAAGCGGTGTGGGAATTTCCCACTCCTCTTGCCTCGGATAAAAATTCCCTTCAAATGGTTGTTGGTAATAGAGCCATTTACATGTGATAATCGCGGTGAATTCGGTACCAACCGATACTTGAACCGCGGTGGGACGTGATGTGTGAAAATAACCAAATTTACCGCAAAGACAAAGTACACAAAGCAGCATCTAAAATGCAGATTTGGACTGAATATCTAACCCTGGATTCATGTCGGTAGCCTCTCAGTCCCCCTGTGTATTGACTATATGCATGCGTTATGACAGCATGCATTTCTAAGCGCATATATGGTTAATTTAGTTTTTAAACTACCGACCGTTTCGCTGGAAAGTTGGTTTTGAACAATTCACCCGAGCTTCTCTAGGCCAGACAAGTTACGATACCAGACATTAGGTTCAAACCACATTCTACGAACCATCGAGAAAAAAATTTCCCACCCGTAGCACTAAAATCACCAACAAAAGGCGGGTAATGCATATTCTGTGCTACAACGCTACTGATTGAGCTTTTCAGTAGCTTGCCCAGTCCCGAGAATCGATTTCTGTGATGGCAGTATCTAGCCCTGGTCATGCCACTTATCAGTCCTTCTCTGGATAAATATCAAAGCTACTTCTAAATTCACACATTTTAGTGGCCTCAAAGGTAACCTTGTTCCTACTCTGGTGACAACTTTGACAAATCTACTCAAAATTAAAAAAAAAACCAAAAATTTGATGACAAGATGCTACATCGAAGCTTCCTATGAGTTATCCCTTTAGGAGGCCCAGCCAGTAAAATTGCCTTAATCTCAAGTTTTGCTTTAAAACATCGGCATGGCGGAATGAAAAAAAAAGAGATCGTATACCGGGATAGCGTTGGGTACAGTGGACTTTTTAACCCGTCCACTACCACTCCCGGAAGGTAAACAACCAACAAGGCATGCAATAAACCTAACCGATCCGTTCGCCACAGGATTTGACTTAACCTTTCATCATAAACTGACAGGAAAACAAATTTCGGGTGTTTGTGGCACCAGTAACAAACGCGTTGGGGTCATAATCAGGGGGAGTGGTCCAACAAGAAATCCACTGGCATTCCAAATACGGACATTTTGAGCCATCACTCAGTCTCCATTACGACTGCCCTCCAAAACAATTTCTCTTTACGGAAAACATGTTATTAAGGAATCCTACCTACGTACACCATACCATCCTCGTCTATGTCTCGCTGTTGGTCTCGATTCACTTCAAGGCAAAAGGCTCATCCACAGAAAGCTAAAGACGGTGCTGGAAAAAAGTGAGGGATTGGCGAGTCTTGGTTATTCTATCTATGCCAAACAGTTTTCCAACCCTCGAGGACAGCTCCAAACCCACGGATTTGGTGGGGATTGCCGACTTGTTGATCCGACTACCCCGAACCTCACTTCCAAAGGGGAAATTTCGAGAGATCCAAGCACGACGCATAGCAATACAAATGGACTTCAATACATTTTACACACGACACAGGGCCAGCATCAAAGGGAGGCACCAGGATCATGAAAAAAATAGGAGTCAGGGCACTCGGATGGTCCAGGTGGGGAGGGAGAGGAGGAGAGGGGGCGAGAGGCAAGAGAGAAAGTACGCATTGCGAGTGCCTAGCTGTACTCGAAACCGGCATTCGCTTGAATCACGTAGAGGAATTTCTCCTTCAGTTCATCCGCCGTCTGATAGATGGGCAACTTTAGAAGGTTCATGCACGTACTGGCGGTAGGATAGTGACTGGTGTCGGAGGTGAGTTGGATTGTGAATGGCGGATGCAGAAACTAAGGCAACAAAAGTCAATTCGATGCGTCAAATTAGGTGGCATCAAAACAAAACTGTATTTCCTAGGGCAACAAGTAATAACGAGTTGATGGACAGGCTTGGAAGGAAAAAAAAGAGGCGAAGAACTAACCCCAAATCCAAACATCGGTGGTCGCGAGGATGCCGTCACAAAACGGATGAGATTGCGCTTCTGATTCTCCGCTAGATCGCGTACAAACGCCCAGAAGAGATTAATCGTCTTCTGATTATGCTCATCCGTCATGTCTACAGAGAAAAGGGGGCGGGAGTGTAAAATTAGGATCCACTGTAAGGAAAAGCAGACTTTTTTAGTTCTTGAACTCCACGTTTTGTCAAGTGTGGTGGCTGACTCTCTTTCCTCGCATTAATTTTCAAGGAAATAGATCAAGTATCAAATTTAATAATGCTTACTAAGAATTAATAAATAAAGCACTCAAAAATGTGACTAAAAGAGTCACAATAAGGGAAGACAAGCCTACCTCCAACAAACTGCGTGTTCTGGATCCAATCGTCCACGTCGATGTCCACGTGTGTTCCTGAGATGACAATCTGCAACTCCTCGGGATCGAAGAGCTGCAACCACTTGAGATCGAGGACACTGGCCATGCCCGAGATGAAAGCCATCGACTGCCGCAAAATCTGTCACCGGGTAAAAAGTAAATGACAATGTAATAAACTATACAAGTTAAATCAGATTCCACAGGCTCTGTCACCATACTCACAGTCAACCGAACCTCATGTACAACAATAGTGATTGGATTGAATCGAGGCAGTGGAATAGTGACATTGGTAAGCAAAACCGATCCAATTCAGGAATAACCATTGATTCGGCTGACTAGATCCCACACCCAAGTGTCGGCCGAAGATGGCTGAGTTCTGATTAGACTCACTACGAATGGATTATCGAAATGGTAGCAGCTTTTGATAGGTTCTCGGTCTCGAGGACTGCATAATGACCACTAATAGAGCCAGATCGGGTTTCTACCAATCAGTCCACGCCTGTGAAAGCAAAGGTCTACATCCACAGTCCTCTTCCAAGTAGCGCTTTTATGTGAATGTTGATAGTAGAAGCGATTGGCAGACACAGCATCCTCGCTGTAGAACATCACCCATGAATCTGTCCTTAATAATAGTTAGCCTTACAGATGACGCGATATTCTGAACTTCTAACCGTATCTACAGCATATACTGCTGCCATCAAAGTGCCCGACACCCTTCCAGTGAAAGCTACTCCTCACACCATCACCATTCCTAGGTCATGGTGGAAGAGAATTGTTGGAAAGCCTCCATAAGCTCGAGGCAGAAGAGTGACAACGAGGGAGTACTTGAGGCGATACCAGCAATGTCCTGACGTTTGAAATGACCAAATGACTTCTGTTGGAAAAGATCGTGATTATGGAAATTGAGTGGTGATCCTAACTGCAGATTAAGTTAGGGAAAAGGATGGTTTCCATGTTTACATACCTGCATTCACCTCCAACTTACGGCCTTACTGTCAGGTTCAGCGACGCCTTTCCAATCAAGTGTGACATGCTAAAACAAATCGACTAAGGATCTCTTCTGATAGAGGCGAATCTCTATTAAAGTACCTTCAGATCAGATCAAATTTCCTGTTATGTCACGTTACTATTTTCCTGGACATGATAAGGATCGGACCTTTCCCCAACTACTTTTCTGTCTTGGGTCATGCAAGTTTACCTCGACATCGCACATTATTTCTCAAATTAAATGTGAAGGAAGAACAGCGTCTTTCACTTGTCAAACACCCAACAACTTTCCTTCACTACCAGAAGTTGGCATAGTTGAAGTGCACATCGACGGCTTGTGCGCAAGAAAACGTGGGGACAAAAATGGAGCTTGGAGATGGGAAAAAAAGCAAGCAACGCAGATTAGCTAAACAAAAGCAGCACCTAGTGAAGGAGGCACGCCCAGTTGCCACTCCATCAAGTACACACAGGGAAAATCAAAACGGAGTGTATTTAATGCAGGCAGGTGAAGATGGAAGAGAGCGAATAGGTGCTGCCATCAAACGAGGAATGAGTCACTGGCAGCGTTAGGAGTTAGGAGGGGCGAAACTGGTCGTCAATATGACTCAAACCGTAAATAGTCTGTCGGTCTGGCAGACATGATTATTCCCATAATGAACATTTTGTTGCCAAAGCAGAGATCGTGGATCCTCGAAGAGGACAATGTAACGTTTTGATTACACCTTTTAGCAAAACTGCAGCCAGGTAACAGTGAAATGCCGACACAAAGCTGGTTAATATATGAAGATAAGTAAATGGGATATAGAATTAGTGCTTTCCCCTTTAAGTAAAGAAGGAATTTCCTGCAATTTTGTGGGTACTTCATGCTGCTTTTGTCCATGTGATGCTGGTGATTTAAAGGTACCAGACAGGCAGAGCGTGAGACAAACGCCATTCAAAGTAGGACACGAGCATTTGGGAAAGTTAGAAACCATTTTATGCAGTACTACATGGCAATTAAGCTCACATCAAATACACACATCTCCGATCACACCGTTCGAGCTAAAGAGTACATGTATTCCACTATGTGGGTCTTTTCAGTCCACAACACCTGGATTTGGTGGCCCAATTACGCCTTCAGGGACAACCCAGACGCTACGTTGGTGAGAGCGTTGGAGAACAGATAGCAAGTGCAAGCGTCAAAATCTGCGGATACCCACAAGAGAAAGGTTATCAAAACCGCGTCGATGCCGATCCCAGGCTTGGCTTGATGTCCAGCTTTGGACCGAAACCAGACTGGCAAAAACCAAAATCGTCTGTTAGCGAACTGCTTCCAGCATGACCAGGGACAGTAATCCATAACATAAAGACAAAATGCCCCCCCCACACTTTAGGCTGATTTTTCTACACAAAGCGATTGGTGCTAGCTGCATAACATTGTCCCACCTTTACCACTATTCCTTGAATGAAGCCCTTCCAGATGCAGCTTATCAAACGAAGGAAGTGCAGCTTAGGAATCCCTCCCAAACTCACGACATGATGCATCACTAGAAATAGCGAGAATGCAAATACATTGACGTAACATCCGTTCCCGTATGCTAATGACAGATCCACTTCCAGACCGCATTAAGGAGCAGCTGCAAGGACACGGGATAACTTTATCGAATGATTTGGACGATAACATGGAAAAGAGAATTGGAGTCATCCAGCAACTCACCTGTTTGTTGAGTTTATAATTGGCCACTAGATTAATGTACTCCACTCGCGAGGCATTGGTCACGGGGATGGAGGCACCACCGGGTTTCAACTCAACCACCGTGTTCTTCCCGTAAACATGCTGAACGATGGTGAAATCCAACTCCAAATCGCGCACATCGCCCTCATAAGACTTCAGTCGACACAACTGCCTGAAAAAACGGAGAACAACAAGACCTCATAGCCTGCGGGAATAGCACCAAAAAAAAGGCAGACATCGGTAAATTCTAGAGCCCAGATTCAGGAAGTTTGTGGCTGAAAGCGTCCATAGTGTAAGTTCATTATTTACAAAATGTCCAGCCATTCCTCACTTTGACAAACTGCTAAAGTAAAATTGAATAGGTCCTCCCTATTCCGACATTCCCTAATTATTCTTAATCACATAACATCAACCTTCAAACGCTTCCCACAGGATACTTGATCGGCACCTGGACGCTGGGCATAATTATTAAACCACACAAACCGGGAATCGGCTAATGGTCTACATTACAGGTTTCAGTATGACTCGGTCCCTTCTCTAGTAGCCCACACGACCCAAGAGGCAATAGCGGAAAAGTTTAATGATTGTATTGTCTGAGGCATTTATCTCCTCGCTTAAATTTTCCCAGCCCACAACATTTGGAGGATAGGTAAGGGGGAAGCAGGCGAGCGTGTTCGCAACTCCAAAAGGTCACTGATGCCTACGTTGAAGGATGAATACGGGAGAAATGACTATTGAGGGAACAAAGTTAACTGGATGAATTCGTGACATCTAAGACAATTCTTAAACTCCAAAACTAGAATCAATTAGAGGAGATCATCTACCGTCTGGAGCCCACTGAAAGGGATAGTTATTAAAAGAAATCACGGCAATAGCGACGAAGAGAGAGGAATGAAGGAAGTGGGATAACCTGCCTGTACAATTCCCGGTCTAGTGAACGCAGGTGGTTAAAGTCGACACTGAGACTTTTATTGGGACTGATAATCTTGGCGAGAAAAAAGGGCGCAAATTGGAGGTCCACCACCATACCCTCATAGATAGCCTTAGAAAGGATGGCGCCGAGGAAGGTATAGTGCGCCTCATGATCCTCCATCAATGCACCCACGTCCGGGTTAGGGTAGAGAGCATGGTCGTCGTTGCAGAGGAAGAGGCCGCGAGAGGGGTCAAAGCCCTGGCGTATTACCTCCAGCAGCATCTCTCTGCACAGACCCCCACCGTCAATGCCCATTTCCATCGCTCCTGCCTCATTGTAGAATGTCACCATGAAGCGCGGGTGGAAGGAAGACACTGGATTTGAAGATGAAATATCATTGGGTGTGAAGTATCTGGTTTCCATTCTGGCCAACTTCGTCGGTTTCTATGAAATAATTGAGCACTGGGACCTATGCATGATTCCATGAAACTACACCAACTGGTTACAGTGGAGATGCTACTGCAGTGAGTGGATTGAAAGAAACGAGGAGTGCATAATTAAGCTGACCGGGGTTAATTCCACCAAAGAAATTGAGTGAACGAGGGTATTCAGGGTATGAAAACCGGGCTTTAAATTTATTCACCGTTCTTTTCCACGTTATGGAGCTTGACTTATTGAGGCTTGATTGACCTTGGAGAAATGAAACGTATGATAAATTTCTTTTGAACTAAGGTTTGAAAAAATCTGATGCGACGCAAAGTACCGCGGTGACGGAATACATGAATTAAGATTTCCCTCAGAGGTCCTGCTAGGTATGCATTAGAAATAGGTCAAAAACAATAACCGAGATCTGAAGTTAGTTACCTAACTGTGCTTCGGTTTCATAAAAGCAAATGCATTCTTCTTCTTAAAGCCAAGGTATCTTTGATTGAAGTCTTATAAAAACTAGTATGCTTTCTCAAATGTTATTTATCTGACAGCGACGAGTAGTTGCACCAAATCGTGTCACAAAGGCGTCAGTTGGATATAAAAATTCAGCAACTAAATTGATCAGAAATTGTAGCAGCAAACTTATTGGGTTAGAAAACCCAAAACAGGTGTTTCGCAAGGCCGATTTGTATGCCAAGGAGATGCAAAAAAGGACGCTTCTATTCTCTATTTGAGAATTCCGTGTCCATGGTAAGAGAGGCTAAACTAATGATGCTACACCAGATATCTGAGCAGTTGTTTAAAACACCTCGCACACCACATCACTTTGTTTCTTTCCTTTTCAAATTTAACGACTTCGGGTTAATTTAAACGCAGAAGTGAGGAGCAATAGTAATTACCTTGACTGCCAGACAGGGACGTAAAAGCGTCCTCATAGACGTGGTCTCGGCGAACTTGCATGTTAATAGTTCGTGCCCTGCCCACTCCGGATATGTAGTTCAACTCTGGTACGCCTTGAATGGAAAGGCGGAAGTGGCGAACCATCGAGACGAAAAACTGGAAAAAAAATGCAACAAAATTGTGCGGCAAAATCGAAATAAAGTGAAGCAATATTTGTTTGGATTGCATTGTTCAAGAGACGGGTTTTTTTGCCTCCAAAAATGCTCAAGTCAACTCAAGCACTACACTGGTGTCAACTTCGACGAATCCACTCGAAGAAAGGGACGATTCTCCTTTTTACTAGGCGTGAACTACACTTAAAAAAAGGAGGTAACTACTGCATATCGCTCAATATGCTGAGCCTAGAGATTGGTATAAAGACCAGCAATGGAGAGATCAGACCTGAACAAATCTACGTTGTTATTAAGTAACTCCTGTATCATGAAAAGAGCCAGCTATGCATTATCGCAGTCTAAATATACAAAACCCTCCATATTGCTTCCGAATGACTACTCCAATGGAGGATGACTGGCATACAGACCGTGCTCGACGTAGAACACGATTGCCCGACAAGCCCCTCCGATCAGAGTGATTTCAGCTTAATGGAAGACTTGTGGCAGATGATAATGGTGACAAAGGACCCCACCTCGACCACCAACGTTAGTAGCACCCCATCCCTTCTTTATGCTTACAGCGATGCTACTTCCCGACTTTTTTCATCTTACCATGATGTACATGTAAAGGGAAGAAAAAGTTTTATGAGAGCTGGAATTACCTTGACTCGATCCCAGAAGGGGAAGATAAAAGGTACTTCTAAGATAACCGTCATCCTACGCCAATCCATAAAAGTCATAGAGGCAAACTTATTTTCGGCTAAAGAGAAATAAAGACCAGTGAAGGCTCCAACAAACCACAAGTAACAGTCAAAGTATTCCCACAGACGGAAACAGGTAGCCACGATAACTAGAATAGAGAGTAACTACGATAAGGTTTAACTCAAATTTAGGGAAAAATGTGAGCTCAAGGATATGACTAAAGGAAAGAACAATAATTTATGTAATCGAGAAAATAATTACTAAAAAATCATAGCAAAAACAGCTAGCATTAACGACTAATTATAATGTGCTCCAATAAGTCAAAACTCGGGCCAAACAGAGCCGAATGCCCTACTCCGATTAGTGTTGAGGCAGCTAAAGTATCCCAAATGTGGCCTAATCAGATTCTTGTCCTTCAACTCCATATACCGCTCCGCCATCCAAGTAGCAGTGCGACTATTATTGAAGTCGGGCACGACCTCGGGGCGCAGCCACTCCGAGCTCTCGACGCTGCCTGCCATCTCGAGGCTGAGAGCCCAACCTTCCTGCTGTTGCTGCTGTCTGCGATGCCAACCATAGATCTGCGCTACCACCTTCTGCGTGGCCAGAAAGAGCGTTCGCCAGCGGTGCAGACACCACCGAAGACGCTCTTCCTCGTCGTCTGTTAGTTCACCTGAAGCGCTGATAGAAGCGGTGGTAGACGAACCAGAAGCAGAGGGACCCTTTTCAGACATGCGCTGCAACTCCACGCGCTCGATAACTTCGCGCAGGGTCACGGGGACATAGATGCCACCCGGTCGAGCCCTTGCTGGGGGTCGAGGAGGGTAAAGGAGATCGATGAGACCAAGCATGAGGTCACGCAGACGTAAGCCCACGACGAGAAGGTCTGAGGGATCGAAGCCGTAGATGTTGAGACCACTGAAGTCGGTGGGCTCAGCGCTGACTTCTGCGTCGGTTAGAAGGGTCAGTCGATGATTGAGACCGTTTAGGAAGGTCAACAGGACACCCGTGAACCTTGGAGAAATAGTAGGTGTTAGATAATACCCCCGTTCTATCTTGAACCATTGTTCAGGAAGATGGTTAGAAAATAGGGGTTTTCAATAGACCAACCGCCGTATAGACGGCACAGAATTCGAGCCAAAAAACTAAGAAAGTGGAGGGGGTCGATACATGAAATTATCCTCATGAAACAAATGCAAATAATAGCATGCTTTCAAAGCTTTCATAGCACAAGCAACAATATCTCATGGTATAGAAATTCACAAACGTCATGTGAATGTGAAAAGTCAACTAAATTGCAGCTAGGTAAATGTTATAAGGCAAAATATTTAGCGAGCAATCTTTGTGGTGCTGTTTCCAAATGGCTCTAAATGAGATCATATCTAGCAGACATAGAAAATGAATAATAACAGAGGTACTTATTCCATCTAACATAGAAAGCAAGGGTATTTTTTGTACTTACCCAAACGTAATATCAGTCTGACAAAATAAATGAAGACTTTCAACTCACTTATCCATTGTCCTTGGTATTTCCGGCATTGTTCCCGATGCAATGATGTCAAAGAGTCTGCCTTTGCCATTATCAGTGGGCATCGTAGTTGCCAGTGTCCACAACTCATGCAAAAACTGCGGCGGTTTGGACACAGTCGAAGTCAATCTGCAAAACAGAACACAAAGGCGTCGCCTCCAGACCAACTACTGACAAGGTATCAGCAGAAAGTAGTTTATAATTAGAAAATCGGACACATACATACGCATGGGACGCGGAGCAATGGGCCGAAAGAAGGCGAGCAAGCTGTAGAGGACAGGGAGGCAATCGACCACTTCTTTGGGCTTCCCACCATTTAAGGTTTCCGATGTCGTTTCATAACCTTCTTTCAGCGCCGCTTGAGCCAAGAGTGGGAGGTACTTCTCCAGTAGATCGAACACCTCGGCGGTTTGGCCCGGCTAAAAGGAAGTATACAACCAATAGGTACAATGAAATCCCAGAAGATAACGTAGCCATGACAAAAAGAAGTCAATTATACGCAACCTTGCTTAACGACCAAAATTATTCTAAATGGAGCAGATAACTTTGGTACAATGCTATCCTACTGAAGGATAAAGTAGATGTTAAGCTAAGGCATTAAATAGTAGCACCACGCCAAAGCAAATATAAATTTTGATGAAACCTCATTTGTGAAGCCCACTTGCTTATATCACAGAAAAAACCGACCTATGAGGGACGTTCAAGCCATTCGGTGACTTGCGGTTTTCAAGGTCACTTTAAGTAGTTGGAGCTTCAATGAACTTCTAATCAAGGCCTCTCCCGCATCCATACATTTGCTCCAGCATTTAGCCGACGCCTAGGAGGGTTCGATAGTAAGAAGATTCGTTTTTCGTGGCCCATCCTGCTATGTTAAAAGTTGAGATTGACAACTGGATAGCAATACGATGGCAGACGATTTGAAATAAGTGGAATGGTTGCTTAATAGCTGCAATATCAATACGGTTTATTTCTGCACGGCCGCGAGACCATATAGGAGCGAACCAGTTCATTTACCACACTTGTCACTATCGTCACAAATATGTGACATGTGCTCCTTATTTGTTAGAATCAAAACAAGAAAGTGGATTTCAAACGTTTCTAGTCTGGGGATAGTTGCAACCCTCCTTAGTTTTTGAACAGCTATTAAAATGAATTAAAGAATGCTAGGTGGTGTCGGAGTGGGACATTGAAACTTCTGAATAGCAGCGGTCGTTGATTTTCCCCCAAAGCTTCGGTAGCGAATGTAATACTACTTCAAGATTTCATTTCAAAAGGCAATATTTCCAAAATGAATCATCTTCAAACATTGCAAGTAAGCTATTAGTAGTTTCGGATACATCAGTGTTAGGACATTATCCACCCCTACTTTAAATGAGGTCATACACACAAGAATCGCAAGCAGGAATTAGACTTCTAAGATCACAAACACACTGATTCATCGAAAAGCGCTCACAAACTCAATCATTCACTCACCCAAGTATCAGTGAATCGTGAAACAGTATCATCAGACTCCTCTTGTTTCCCAGAAAAATCGGTTGGCCGAGTCTCAACTGACGCCACCGGCAGCATGACGACGCTATTGGTCTCGCTGTCACTGTTTAAACCCACGTCCTCCGCCGAGGACTCAGATTCGACGGAAAGGGGCAGAGGGGAGAAGGGTGGTGAGAAGACAGTCGTGCTGCCATCAGCAGGGCACCTGGCCGCGATCAGGGATGAGAACATCCAGGTTAGGATGCGGGTAACCTGAATGGCTAGGTTACCGGAACCAAGCCTCCATTCCCGCAAAAAACGCGGCAACGATCCGGATAGGAAGGGAAGAAGGAGGTCTGTGAAAAGGAGGGATGAGGAAGGGGGCGTGATTACTTCAACAAGAAACACGCTTACTTTCCAGTAAAAATGCCCAATGGTATCTCAAAGTTGTAGAGGGCAGCTTACTTCCATAAGTACTGATTCATGAAATAGATGATTTTCATACACAAAATCACGGGCAGAGCGAAAGGTTAAAAAGATTGTTGCTTCAAAAGACCACCTTTGCCGATAAAATCACCAGAAATCAAAGTAATGATCAGAAAAGGTGAAAGAACTTTATGATTCAAAGGTCAATTAAAATTGCAGAAATGATGCCCTTCTTTGAGGCGGTTTCACGCCTCCAAACAGCTATTCGCATGATTTTTGGACTACTTGACTATAAGTGTGACTTCATTAGTTGGGGCTGGATGCGATGAATTTTAGCGATGAATCGACAAAAGAAAGAATCGCGTGCTTACAGATGGGCTTGGGAAACAAGTACGCAAGAGCAAAATTTCTTGTGAAAAAGAAAAACAAACGCAAACAAAACCATC